ATACACCGTCACATGCTCTCTCGGGAGCGCGGCAGATGTCGGCCCGGGCTGGCAGGGGGGGACGCCGGCGCCAGTTCGCATACTTAACGACTCCCAACTCCGATCGTATTGCGTTGGGCTCGCGGGCCGGGGAGGGCGAGGCGTTTGCGTGTAATGGTTACCCGGCGTAACCCGGTTACCTCCGCCGCCTTTTACCTCCGCCCAGCAGCCGTTGGCGCGCTGACCGGCGGGGCGGAGTCGCGGGCCGTCGGCGAAGGGCTGGGCGGAGCGGCGAACCGCCGGACGCCTCGCGCCCCTTGCCGGCCTGTTTACGGGCCCATCGCCCATCGCTTGGCCGCCCGCGCGCCGCCCTTCCCCTCCCGGAAGTAATCGTGCGGGCGAGCGGCGTCTCCGAGGAGGCTCTTCTCGCCTTGGCGCGCCACGCGCCTCCTGCCGCTTATCTGCTAGCCAACCCCCCGGCCCCGCCCACGTCGTCGCGTTGGGTCAGCGCGTCTCAAGTTGCTGCGAGTGGCCGAGAACAGAGGGCATTGGGAGCAGGGGGAAGGGTGCTGGTTGCCCAAAATTTCACTCGTGTAGAACTCCCATCGCTAGCTTGTTTTTGGATTCTCGGATGCTGCTTTAGGTCGCGATTCCTGGTGGTTTAGACGCCACCTGAAACGCACAGACGTACAGCGGGTTGCATATACCCAATGTATAAATATCGTGTTTGATAAAATAACGAAGACACTCATGTCCTTTGACATTATTTTACTATCAGTTTCATACATAATTCTTTATCATATGGCAAAATGATTTGTGAATAATGGACTGAACTTGGATGTCCGTCCCCTCCTTTTAAATCTGTTAATAATTTGGTAACTTCGGTTACTATTTGTATGTAAATATATTAGTTCTGACGTGTTGTACTTTTAAAAACTTATCGTTATTCTGAGAAACTCATGTACGAGAGGTTAAGGGAAGAACTCAAGCAAATAGTGAATGAATAGTCGGTACACACTCATTAACAGTATCCCAGAGTAAGCGTTGAGAGAACGTTGCGCCCTCTCTGCAATCTGCCTCCTCCCTGCGAGCCTCCCTGGCACCTCATCGTCGTGCCTCCGTGCCGCCCCCGCCCTGGGCTTCATCCGCACCCCTCCGCTTCCCGGCGCGGCCGTCCAACTCTCGCCCCTCACCGCCGGGCGCGTCGCCCGCGGGCCCACGGTAATTGTCGCTCCCGGCGGCGGCCAGCACCCGCCCCCCGCCGCCCCTCCGGGTCGCCGCTGCGCCCCGACCCCTGCCACGCTGTGTTGCACCGCCCGCCCGTGCCCTTGCTTCCTCTCCCTGCGGTTCTCCGATTCTCTCGGATTCCTTTTCTCTCCTTTATTTCTTCTTCCTTTCACTTCCATTTTTTCCCGACTTCCTGATAGCTCATTCTCTTCATCGCGTGGCTGGAGTTTCTGTTTTACATTCACACACATTTCTATCGTTACTGTCCTCTTCCATCTCTTCGTCATAGATGTTGAAACTTTCTTATGAATTATGAAAGTTAGCGGTATTCGGTTTATTGCAGCTTGGATTAGTTTTTGCATTCTCCGTTTTAGGGTACGGAATTGTTATTCATTTTTTTGACATACTAACATGTTTCACATTTTCCTTCCTTTTTGTAACATTTCTATTTTTTTTATTACATCTTTGTTGTTACACATAAAAATAGTTGCATACATATGCCGTGTCCTTGACTCATCGCTGTATTCCTTATCTGCTTTTTTACCTCTTCGATTCGTGTCGCCATCACCACCATCCGCCAGTAAACGTGTTGACCCCCAGCCGCAGCGATCGCACTGCCCTGCGCTCGGGGCCGCCATCACGCTCGCCGTTTCGTCTTCGCGCCCCGTTTCGTCTCCCGCGCGCTCCGCGCCCGCCGGCGCCGTATTGTGCGGGGGCGTCGTAACTCGGGAGGGGCAGATGCGAGTGGCGCGCACTTGCCGCGCGCGCCCCCATCAGTATGCGATTACGCGCTCACTCGCCGCCGCCCGTCCGTCCGTTCTTTCGCGGTGGGGGGGGGGACAGAGCCCCTGCGCAGCCGGCCCGCAGACCAAGTAGCGCGCGCTTACGCGGAAATCAACTGCGCCCGCTAGTTGCAGAGAGGTAAACGAGAACCTCCGTGACAAGTTTCACGCTTATCCTCAACATTGCTTTGGCGCCTAATTCTATTTGTGAGAAATGTTTCTATTTATTTCATTGTGTTTTCTCTATCTGAGTTGTTTAATTTTAAAGCTTAACAAACTTTTTTCTGGGAGTTACAGTTTTAGAATATCCCGTTTCTACGAAGTGTCTCGATTTGTTGGCGAGAAGGTCTTCGTTGGGCATGACCAAAACGCTCGAAAACACGCATTTACTTCTCTACGTAATGTGTGAATAAAGAAAAAGCATTAATCTTTAGTGGAAATTGTTTCCGACTGATCCCATCCTATGTCCGACAAAGCCCACTTCATAACTGAACTTGAGTATGCGACGTACTGCATGAATTGTATTAAGAAAAAGTATTTATATCAATTGCAGAGAGCGGGAAAATCTCTCATCGAAACGTGTTTCGCGATTCTAATTATGCGAAGTATACATAAACTACAGCATTATGAATCAGAAAGACGTATTTAGATGTGGATTGTATTTAGAACCATTTACGTGTTGACGACTAAGAATCAGTACGTCGAGAAGGTTCTCGTTGGTAATATCTGATGGGCAAGTAGCAGTGAACGGCGTTATTCCCATTTGCCACCGTCCATCGTTCACGAGGGGGGGGGGCGGGGCGGTACAAAGGGGAAGCCGCGCGCCCGAGTGGGTGTGCGAGCTGCCGGCTGGGACCCAGAACGAAGCGCGGGTGGCGGATCACTGTGGCCCATCGCTCGCGCTCGTCTGCTGCCCCGCCCCCGCCTGGGACGTCGTCTCAAGGAGCGAGAGGGAGCGAGGGGGCAAAAGAGAGAGGTCCTGCTAAATCAATGTGAGTCCGACCCTCATTCGACCCAGCACACAATTCTCCTTCTCCTTCTCCTCCCCCCCCCCGTCACCCCCTCCTCCAGCCGGGCGCGCAGACGAGGGTCCGAGTGTTACTAGCTCTCTCAATTGAACAATTTGAGAAACAGATGAGAACTGGTGTTGAAAGGAAACGATCGGCATCTATTTTATTCACAGTGATTCCTCTGTAGGGAAAATTGGCTAGACTTCTTACATTGTGCCACAGTATGTGGGGAAATTCACGTTTTCTATAAAACTTCGTGCTCACTGGTTGTAGTGATTTCTTTTATTATACCCCACGCTCGACCGCCACCATCATCCACTCCATACCTACCTGTCGTGACATGTGTTTATAGTTTTGTAATAATATTCATTCACGTTCTAACACCGCATTCCAGGTTTAATTGAACGCTGATTTAAGATGTTCTTACGTATTTCTAGAACGATCTCTGACGGAGCTTTTCTGTGCCCTTCCTAGTAAAAGCTTCGTATCTATTCTATGGAGCTGACTATTAAGTAACAAGTATTTAGCGTAAGTCGGGGCACGCGAATTTTTAATAGCCGAAACCGCATTAGACGCGCAAATGTCTAGGAAACCTGCGGCGACGGCGCAGAGGGTGTCCGTCGGAGGGTCCGCGGCGGCCGCCACCGTCTTGCGCGTCCCGTGAAATGACAGGCTGCCGTTAAAAAATTCACGGTGAAAATGTCCCGACCGCTCCCCAGGAGCTACCACGTCTCTCCTTTTTTGCCTTCCTTCTCCAGCGGAACAGGAGAAACGACTTAAAGCTACACCTGGCTCATGAATACCCGCGGCGCCGCTGCTTCCCTCCCCTCCCCTCCTCACCCCTCCTCCCACCATCCCCCATCCCAGCCTTAACCGCCCGCACCGCGCCGGCGTTACCGCTTCGTGTCCGCGTCTCTGTAAACACGTGTGCAGGGGCTCCACGCTCCCGTGAATCTGACTTTTTTTTTCGCTCCCTCCCGCTCTCTTTTTCCTTCCAATTTTTTCCCCCCTCGACCGGCATGTTCGTGGCCACTGTGAGAGCCCAGCGCGCCACTCGCTCTGCGTCCAGCCCGCGCGAAAATATTTACGAATAGCAAATTACATCGCTCCCCGGTGACCTTTGACAACACGATTCGGTCGAGTGCCCTCCGCCGCCGCCGCCGCCGCTGTTCCTGGAAATCGACACCCTTTTGATGTTCCTGAGAGCGTTCTAGAGCCTGAAGTTAGTCCTTCTCGTGATGGGTCGAAACATCATTAAAGGCTTTACGTTCTGTAATTTGAAGTTACTATGTCCTGTTTTTTCAATATTTGTTTTATTCCTATATTTATCGGATTGTTGAATTATTCAACTTCGTGGTCATGTGTACAAGAAATTTCCACGTGATTTTTTTTAAATAAATCTTATAACTTAAATTACCGCAATACGGAAAACGTTTAACTGCTGCACCTGTGAAGCGATTTCCACGTGAAATGCCCTTTACATTTTTGAAATGATTCACTGCATTATCATTAACGAATTTTTTATCTTCATCAAACTATGAAATACATATATTTCTCTTTTCTAGTTATTTGTAAAATTGAAATTACAGTTTGACGGTGATGCATAGAAAAATAAGAGAATATTTCAAAAGACGTTTTAATCGACTTATGTATGCCATTTCTTCGAAGAACTGAGTTATTGTTTCTCTTCGAAAAATTGTATGTGTGTGTGAAACATTGTTATAAATGTATAGTAATTATTAGAATGTGATATTTAAATAATTATAGATTTGCAATGTTTGTTGTCTGCATTCACTTGCATGTTGTTAAAAATACAATATTGAAACCTAGATGGAATTATATTTAACATGCGCGTGAATTCAGAAAGTCATTTTGTCTCTTTCAATTTCACATACTGCTATTTTATCTCCTTAACGTATGGTTGATTATCTTGTTGAAAGAGCTTTGTTGTTGTTGTTTTTTTTTCTGGCTGTGGGAGTAACGCAGGAGGCGTTGTTTGCAGGAGGCGGAAAGCGCCATCGCCGCCATGAACGGCCAGTGGCTGGGGAGCCGGAGCATCCGCACCAACTGGGCGACGCGGAAGCCGCCGGCCCCCAAGAACGAAGGTGAGTGGCCCCCGGGGCAGCGGGCGCCTGCACCGCCACCAGCGCCGGCAGCGTCTCTCGAAACCCCGTCCCTCGCCCCAAGGCAGACTACTAATCGCCCTTTGCTGTAGAAACCGTGGCTCAGAAATACTTGCGTCGGTCGTTGGTAGCAGACTCTTCAAATAGGTTAAAGAGAAAAAAACTAAACTCTTTTTAAAAATAATTATTCATGGTATACATTGGAATGAATGGAAGATTAAATTCGTAACCGGAGGACGGACATGAATTTGGTGTCGAAATGATCCTCTTTATGTATTAAAATTGTGTACATGTGCTTCAATCTTTACCGGGAGATAGAATAGAAGGCTCGGTACTGTATCATTTTACATTATTCTGTTAAAAATATGTAGACCCATTCCAAAATTGTCACTGTCCTAAAGAAAGTACAGGTATTGAAAATGAAGATCACATCTGATGCTTTGAATAAATAGTCTCCTGTTGTGAAATGAAAAAAAATGGTTTCAAAACGAGGGCCTTGGGGCACACCAGTTTTTAATACCGACATCCCCTTCACGTTTTCCGCTGGTAGATTCTGACCCTTCTGCGCACACACTGGTTGGTGTCTTGCGCTCTCTGCGCTGGTCAGGTACTACCTACCCATAAAAGCACTCTTTTCAAAATGTTTTGTAAAGATTGATGCCTTCGTAGGTCAAGATGAACGAGGAAATGTGAACCGTGGGTTCCAATTCATTTTTCTTCCCCAATGTACATTACTTATTGTACACTACATTTTCCGTGAAGGACCTCGCTCACCGATATTACTTAATGCTGTTTAAAATAGATAATGAGAAAGAACAAAACCCTCAAATTCCCCACACGAAATTGTTTTTGCCACGACTCGCACATGCGATGTATTTGACGACTGTCATAAAATGAAAATTGAACGTCGCGGGCAGCGAAATGTAGGACAACAGGAAAAAA